TCTTTCCCCCTCTCTTCCCCCTTCCTGTCCACAGGAATCCAGGCTTCTCTCCTGCGGCTGACTCAGCAAAGAGGAAGCCGGGAAAGAAAAACGAGAGCCCCAAAACTGGGGAAGAGAAGAACAGGGTGTAAAATCTGGGTTTGGGGATGTGATCTCGGCTTCCCACAATCCTGTTTTAAAACAAACGAAGGAACAAAAAAACCCCCCAAAACCCGAACAAAAAAACACACCTAGGCCTGTTCCATGTACCATAGTATTCTCTGGGCAGCATGAAACTAGCACGGAATTTGGCTTCAAGGGGGGAAAAACTGGGTTTTTTAAACCTTTGGGGAATAAAAAAAGCAAGCATCCAGAGTGGGAGAGAAAAAGGTTTTAAAATAGCAGGGCTGGCTTGGGAAAACTCCGGAGGTTAAATCTGGGTCCCTCTGAATACGAAGAATACGCTTGAGCTGTGTCCAGTGTTCCCTCTAAGCTGACGGAGTGCGAGCTAGCTCACGGTTTCTCAGCCTCCGGCTCAGACATTTTTCGCCTTAGCTCAGGAAGGGAGGGCTCCAGAGCAAACTAACTGATGCAGCCGCCCAATCGCTCGCCGACAACTTCCATGCCAGGAGCTCACAAAGCAGAATTTTTGCTCACGAGACTCCACAGCTTAGAGGGAGCATCGGCTGTGTCCCTCCTCCCATTCCAGGGACAGGAATACTCACATTTTGGAGGAGACCGGCCCACTCTGTGGTCTGCTCCATCAGGAATGGCCCTGCCCCGGATTCTCACTGTTCCTGGGAGACACCGACAGCCCATTTCCCCACTTCAGTGCTTCCCCACTAGGGATGCCAACCTCCAGGAGGGACCTGGGGATCCCCTGGAATTACAGCTCACCTTCAGACCACAGAGGTTGGTCCCCCTGGAGGAAATGGCTGCTTTGGAGGGTGGACTCTGTGGCCTTGTGCCCCACTGAGGTCCCTGTCCTCCCCAGGCTCCGCCCCCAAATGTCTAGGATTTTCCCAACCTGGATGATGAAGAGATTGTATTTATACCCCTCCCTTCTCTGCCCAAAGGAGTCTCAGAGCGCCTTACAATCTCCTTTCCCCTCCCCTCCCCTCCCCACAACAGACACCCTGTGAGGTAGGTGGGGCTGAGAGAGCTCTTGACAGAAACTGCTCTTTTTTTCAAGAACAGCTCTTATCAGAACTACGGCTCGCCGAAGGTCATCCTGCCAGGTGCAAGTGGAGGAGTGGGGAATCAAACCCGGTTCTCCCAGATTGGAGTCCGCACACTTAATCACTACACCAAACTGGCTCTCCGGGGCTGAGAGAGCGGGGCTGAGAGAGCTATTTCCAGAACTGCCCTTGAGAGAACAGCTTTGAGAGAACATATGACTGACCCAAGGTCACACCAGCTGCTGCATGTAGAGGAGTGGGGAATCAAACCTGGTTCTCCCAGATTGGAGTCCATGTTCCTAACCACTACACCAGACTGGTAACTCTACCTCCCATGCTCAGCCAGTGGCCAGGCGACACCTGGCAACCTTATTCCCCACCCATAATACACACAGGGGCAAAGACCGGGTTGTTAACTGCAATCTTGCATAGATGGATCTTTTCAAAAGGATTCGAGAAATTCGTGATGGGCTAGACCCACAGTAGCCGAACCAGTGGGAAAGCATATTGTGCCAAAGAAGTGCGGCGAATTTCATTCCAAAATCTCAGTTTTAAAGAGTCTCGTATTGCAAACGAGCCAACAGGATACTGAATGGGCGATTCAGAGAAAAGGATGCCCTTTGCTTGGATTAAACAAGCTATCCGTGTTTCAAAGCCACAGTGTCCTGGAAGGTGACCGGCGGAGAGGTCACGGTGGCAGGCATCCTGAACGATCCAAAAGCTGGCCGGAGAACACACAACTAAATTGATCTAACGCAGTGAGAATTCCACTGCATCGGTTCTGTTTTTTTAAATGGGATGGAATGCACTGTGTATCTGAACATGCGCAGAGTGCCTGTTTCCAACGAACTTCCGTAAATGGAACGTGGGGAGGGGCTGTCAATTTAACCAAGACCCACCTCTAACGGTGGCAGTTTCACCTGGTGTTGCCCGCGCCCCTTTAAAGACCACCGGTGGCTATTCTAATATACATGGATCACCATGCCAATAGAGTTCCCCCTCCAAAGCAGCCATTTTCTCCAGGGGAACTGATCTCTGTAGCCTGGGGATCAGGTCTAACTCCAGGAAATCTGCAGGCTGGCCTGTAGCTAAGTGGGGCTATTGGGGGCGCTGCCCCCTTCCTTAAAGGGCCAGCCCCACGAGATTTTTTAAAAATATTTTGAGAAGAATCAGGGGGGCATGCAAGGCCCCCTCGCTTCTTCTCAAAAGCATTTAAAGGGATCCTTTAAATGCTTTGGAGAAGAGGGGTGGTGGTGTGCACCCCTCTCCCTCCCCGCTGCAAGATTGAAAGGGCCCACCAGCTGATTGGCGGGCCACCGGCTCCCTGCCGATCAGCTGAAAGGCCCTTTAAATCTTGCAGGAGGGGAGGGAGAGGGGTGGCTGCCGGTAGTCGGGTTTGGGGGTGGATCGGAGCTGACATAAAAATAATGGCAGCCCCACCAGCCCAATTTTTGCCCCACAAGCCACAAACTCCTGCCTAAGGGCCTGTTTGCAGGTTTAACCTGGAGGTTGGCAACCGTACTCCAGGCCCAACTTCCTGGCAGGCCGAAAGCCCCCCAAGACTTCCTGATTTGATTCTTTGCCCCTTTGATTCCAGATGTCTGACGAAGGGAGCTTTGGTTCTCGCAAGCTGACACCCTGAAACTCTTGTTGGTCTCTACGGGGCTATGGGACTCGAATCCAACTGTTTGATTTCCCTCGGTGACCCATGGGGCAGCTCCGAGACTCCCCAATCCCGCCCAGTTAGGTGTAGTGGTTAGGGGTGCGGACTCTAATCTGGGAGAACCAGGTTTGATTCCCCACTTCTGCACATGCAACTGCTGGTGCGACTTTGGGTCAGTCACAAGTTCTCTCCGAGCCGTTCTCTCAAGGGCAGTCCTCGAGACCTCTCTCAGCCCCACCTACCTCACAGGGTGTCTGTTGCAGGGAGGGGGAAGGGAAGGGGATTGTCAGCCACTCTGAGGGTATAAATCCAATCTCTTCTTCTCCTTCACTTGCAAACAGTCCCCCTTTCCTTTCTGCTAGCGCGTGCGCGGCTGCAGCCAGCACGCATGGAATGCGCCATGCGATGCTCGCCCCGTTAACCTTCAGGAACCTCTGTCCAGCTGCCTCTCCCTCTCCTGCCACTCACTGCTCGTTAACTGGCAAAGTCACCGCAAAGTTCTTCTCCGGGTTGAGCCAAACCCCGCACAGCAGGTGCGGCGTGGGAGGGACGGAACCAGCTGCAGCCAGTCAGGACAGCGGGCCCCCAAGGCAAGTGGGGTCAGAGATGCCAGCCGGTTGGCAGACTGCGGCTCCGGGCAGGTTAACGATGAGGTCATGCCAGAGACAGCCGGGCAGACTGTCCCGTGCGCAGCTTCAGCCCGAGGGAGGGATTCACCTTCCATGTCGGCCGAAAGAACGGAGGAGGCCCGAGGAACGAGGGCGGGGGGGGGGGAGCATCAGCATCTGGCCAGGCCTAACAAAGATCTGTTGGGGGAAGCGGCCACTGCCGCTGAATTTGGGCGAAGGAGGTGGCAAACGGGCCACAGAGGAGCGAGGAGCCGCCCGCCACAGGAGGAATTCTGCCGGAGCGAAAAACAACAGCGAGACGGGCAGATGTCCTTCACGTGGAAGCAGGTGTCTCCTCCTTTGCGAGGTTCTCCACGTGTGTGGGTTTTCCCCATTGCCCACTTCATCACACCGCCTGATCGATGACCGCTATTAAGACAGAGTGCCACACAGCAGCGGCAACCAGCTGGCTGAGCCAGAAGCCGAGAGGGCGCCGGTTTCTCGTTGCGAGAGGCTCTCAGAGCTGCTTACAGTCTCCATTCCCTTCCCCTCCCCACAACAGGTAGGTTGGGCTCGCAACGAGAAACCGGCGCCTGGGAGCTCGCTACTCACATCGCTGGAACTGTTGATAAAAACGCCAGATCTTTTCGATGCACGTCAAGTGATACACACAGGTGCTCTCACCTGGAGCCAAGAGGGGACAGTGCTGAGCAATGGTTATTAAAACTTCCGCCGCTAGATTCCTGCCGGGCTAAAGAGGGCCAGTCCCAAACGGGAACATGAGATTCAGATCTCTGGCTATCAGTCCTACTTGTGCTCCTGTCTAGGGTCGGTGTAGTGGTTAGGAGCACCGATTCTAAGCTGGGGGAACCGGGTTTGATTCCCCACGCCTCCACGTGCAGCTGCTGGCGGGACCTTGGGTCAGTCACAAGTTCTCTCAGAGCTGTACTTGAAAAAGTTCTCGAAGGAGCTCTCTCAGCCCAACCTACCTGTTGTGGGGAGGGGAAGGGAATGGAGACTGTAAGCAGCTCTGAGACTCCTTCGGGTAGTGAAGGGCGGGGTATAAATCCAATCTCTTCTTCTTCTTCTTCTTGCCACCCTCCAGGTGGGGCCTGGAGACCTCCTGGCATTCCAACTGATCTCCAGACCACAGAGACCAGTTCACCTGGAGAAAATGGCTGCTTTGGAGGGTGGACTCTATGGCATTAAACCAGAAGGCGTTCCATGCGCCTTGGTGTTTAGTCATGCCGGCCACATAACCACGGAAACGTCTTCGGACAGCGCTGGCTCTTCGGCTTGGAAACAGAGATGAGCACCGCATCCCTAGAGCCGGACTCGACTGGCTTTCGAGCAAGGGAACCTTTACCTTTAAGAATGTCTCCCTTCCCCAAAGCCTGCCCTCTCTATTCCCCCCCCCCAAATTCTTCGGGAATTTCCCAACCCAACTCTACTTGTTATACCCTTTTGTCCAGTTGTCTGACATGGCCTGAGTGACTCAACAGCATGCTTGTTTTAGAGCTCTATTTTATTAAATTAATATATAAAAAATCTCATTTATTTACATATCAGGTCCCGGCCTCCCCGTCTCCTTCCCCTCCTCCAGGATCCGGGACAGGCACCGGTGTGTGGCAGAAGGCAGCAGCCAAGAGTCCTCCTGTGGGGAGAGGGTCCTTGGGGAAAGGGGAACTTTCCCCAGGGCTCAGTAGCTCAGAGATCCAGTGTCCTCTTGCTTCGGCCTCCGTGCGGAAGACGGGGGAAATGGGCGGTCCTTCAAAACAGGTCCCCTTAAGCAAGAGGCCACGACCCTGGGCGACCCCCCTACCCTACCCTACCGCTCCCCACCCTTTCCGGGCCATTTGTACTCAACCGATGGTCTCCCATTACAAGGCCCATTCTGCATCTAGCATTCGCTCCGCTGTTTCACCAAACCCACACTGGAACAGAAAAAGATGCGGCTCAGAACCACATTCAAGTACCCCGGGGGCTAGCGCCGTCCTGACTGCAGAGTCACCCCTGAATGGCCATAAAAACGGCCATAAATCTATGCAGACGGCTACCATGAAACGGAGAGATCAAAGGGGGTGATTTCCCACAAGCGCTGCTCCGCACTCACTCTTCTCTTTGGCCCGGATGGTACGTGTCAATTTCACACAAGCTGCTGCCGCGACCGCATTTTGCCCCGCAGCTTCGTGCGATTTCCCCCGCGTCTACTCAATCCTGTTTTTTGAGGATTGAGTAGACGCGGGGAAAATCGCACGAACCTGCGGGGCAAAATGCGGCCGCGCAGCAGCTTGTGTGAAATTGACACGTACCATCAGGGCAAAAGGGAGGAGTGAGCGCGGAGCAGCGCTTGTGGGAAATCTCTCAGGAAGTGAAAGCGGCACGCAGTCCGGACACTGCCATAGAATCCGACAACCCATCAAAGCGAAAGAGGCATGCCATGCAGAGGGGGATTTCTGTTCCAGCGTGGGTTTGGTAAAACAACGGAGCAAATGCTAGATGCAGACTGGGCCCAAGACAGAGGGAGGTTATTGGAAAGGTAAGCTGAGAGATGGGTGGTGGCAGCTGTCGTCGGGGTACGCACGGGGCCGGCGTCAGCACACTGCCACGACACACACTCTCAGGGGTTGACTCCCCTCCAACCATGTGGTGCCAGGGCAGGATCTGCAGGTGATGGGCAATGGCGGCACTCTTGGGAGGCACAACGGTGGCATTTCCATCTGCATACACCCCCTGGTGCTGTTGGGGAACGGCCAGTAGGAAGGCTCACAAACCGGTGGAGAGAGGGAAGAGACAAAGCAGGTGGGGATGTGGGTGGGCTAGAAGGGAGGCACGAGCGGGGTCCGAGTGGTGGTCAGAGGAGAGGGGAGCCCTGGACACTCTCTGCCCACGGACTCCCCCCACCAAACCTGGAACCGGCCCTGGGTAGGCACAAACCCGGAGCTGTTCTGGAGATCGAGGAACGGGAGGGGGGAGAGGCTCAGAGGCAGCGGCCGGATCGAGGAGGAGCCCAGGGCTCGTGTCGTTCCGGGAAGCGGGTTCGAGAGGGTCGAGGTTCTCTCTCAGCCGTGAGCAGGAGTTCTTTCAGGTTGTCCCATCCTCCAGAACCAGGCCAGGCTTCAGCGGCTGCCCCTTAAGCCCCCCCGGGATGCTTGGATTTCTAGGCGGAGGTCAATCCTCGCGCCTAGACCATCGTGACGGTCCTTGGGGTGGGGCCGGCCTAGCGAGGCCCTGCCTCGAGGCTCTGGCTGGAAGGGCGACCGCTACGCCGCAGCCGCCGCGTCACGTCCACGGGGGCGGCCTGTGGCGGACCTTCTGCCGTCATTGGCATTTGTCGTCGCTCTCGGAAGGGCTGGACTCGCGGGGGATGGAGTGCCGGTGCTGCCGGTTCCACAGCTGGTGGACCTCCGTGGTCTCCGTCTCGCTGCTGCTGGTCGTGCTCTCCCGGAAACTGGCCAGCGGGGGCCGTACCTTCGCACCTTTGGCGGTGACCGAGCCCTCTATGGCTTTCCGCAGCTGGAGGGGAAGAGGAAAAGGAATTGTGGGAATGGACCACCCAATGGACCGCTACACATAAGAGATGCGTGTGTACGCAGAGTGGGGATAAGAACACAAGAGAGAAGCCCATGCTGGATCAGGCCAAGGGCCCATCCAGTCCCACACTCTGTGTCACACAGTGGCCAAAAATACCAGGTGCCCTCAGGGGGTCCAGCAGTGGGGCCAGGACATTAGAAGCCCTCCCACTGTTGCCCCTCCCCCCCAGCTCCAAGAATACAGAGCATCCCTTGCCCCAGACTGAGAGTTCCTATCTATAAGGTAAAGGTAAAGGTTCCCTTGCTCGAAAGCTAGTTGAGTCCGACTCTAGGGTTGCGGTGCTCCTCTCTGTTTCAAAGCCGAAGAGCCAGTGCTGTCCGAAGACGTTTCCGTGGTCATGTGGCCGGCATGACTAAACACCAAGGCGCACGGAACGCTGTGACCTTCCCACCGAAGTGGTCCCTATTTATCTACTTGCAATTTCTTGCTTTTGAACTGCTAGGTTGGCAGGAGCCGGAACTAGAGACGGGAGCTCACTCCGTCTTGTGGCACCCGGGCCTCGAACTGCTGAACTGCCGACCTTCCACAGCCTGCAGTTCAGCGTCTTAACCACTTGAGCCACCTATCTATACCTTGTGGCTAACAGCCACGGATGGACCTCTGCTCCATATGCTTATCTTGAAGCCGTCCATGCTTGTAGCTGCCACCACTTCCTGTGGCAGTGAATTCCAAGTGTTAATCCCTCTTTGGGTGAAGAAGGACTTCCTTTTATCCGTTCTAACCCGACTGCTCAGCAATTTCATGGAGTGCCCACGAGTTCTTGTATTGTGAGAAAGGGAGAAAAGGACTTCTTTCTCTACCTGCTCTATCCCATGTATCATCTCGTAAACCTCGATTTGAACCTGGGTCTCTCAGACCCTAGCCTGAAAGTCTAACCACTGTGAGGGAAAGCACCCGGTTCCTCCCAAGGGTTAATGTGAATAGTAATAGGCTCATTCCGTCCTGCATGTGCTGCTAATTGGGTCTCTCTGCCTACAGAGCCCTTATCATCTTCAAGGCCAGAGTTGGAAATGTGGTGATTCGCTTCCCATGAGAACCTGTGGCCCACAGGATGGGGAGGGGGGGGGAATCAGGAGTGGTGAGGTAACTTTCTAGAAGGTTCCAGCAAGAACGTGTCCTAACTGGGTATCAAATTAGGCAGACTCTAATCTGGAGAAATCGGTTCGATTTCCCACTCCTCCACTTGAAGCCAACTGGGTGACCTTGGGTCAGTCACAGTTCTCTCAGCCCCCCCAAATAAGCCTAATAAAGGTTTCCCTTGCTCGGAAATCAGTCGAACCCAACTCTAGGGGGCGGCGCTCATCTCTGTTTCCAAGTCGAAGGGCCAGCGCTGTCCGAAGGCATTTCCCACTCCTCCACTTGAAGCCAACTGGGTGACCTTGGGTCAGTCACAGTTCTCTCAGCCCCCCAAAATAAGCCTTCCCTTGCTCGAAAATCAGTCGAACCCAACTCTAGGGGGCGGCGCTCATCTCTGTTTCCAAGTCGAAGGGCCAGCGCTGTCCGAAGACATCTCCATGGTCATGTGGCCGGCGTCAGTAGACGCCAAGGCGCACGGAACGCTGTTACCTACCCACTGAAGCGGTACCTATTTATCTACTTGAGATTTCTTGCTTTCGAACTGCTAGGTTGGCAGGAGCTAGCTTCGGGCTGCCAGACAATCTTAGGATCTCCTGGCTATACTACACCCACTGCCATACAATGATTATTATTATTATCACCTGATGCTGCTTGGCCCAAAAACTATAATTCAGCTAAGAGCCTGGAGAATTCTCATGGGCTGAAGGCCTGGACTATGAAATGCTCATATTGCAATAGATAGCAACGTAGAGAACGCGCAAACTATGGCTGTTGACTCTCGAACTCAAGACTCTTGCAATCTAACGCAGGTCTTTGAAATGTGTTAGATAAGCTAGTTTTCTTGGGTTTTCTGCTGCTTGATTTCAGAGTGTCGCATTGCCTGTAGATCAAATATTTGTTCTGAACGATATTAAACAGAACTTTATATAATTTTTAAATAAAAGGTTTAAAAGAAAGGCATGGAGCAGGGGGTGACTGGGTGTGTGTGTGGGGAGGTAGTTGTGAATTTCCTGCATTGTTCAGGGGGTTGGACTAGATGACTAAGGAAGTCCTTCTTCACCCAAAGAGTGATTAACACATGGAATTCACTGCCACGGGAGGTGGTGGCAGCTACAAGCATGGACGGCTTCAAGAGGGAACTGGATAAACATCTGGAGCACAGGCCCATCCGTGGCTCTTAGCCACAAGGTATAGATTGGAACTCTCGGTCTGGGGCAAGTGATGCTCTGTATTCTTGGTGCTTGGGAGGCAGCAGTGGGAAGGGTTCTGGAGTTCTGGCCCCACTGGTGGACCTCCTGATGGCACCTGGTATTTGTGGCCACTGTGTGACACAGAGTGTTGGACTGGATGGGCCTTTGGCCTGATCCAACATTGGCTTCTCTTAGGTTCTTAAGACCCTGGAGGTCCCTTCCAACTCTACGATTCTACGATTTGGTTAGGTTACTTGTGCACATTGGCTCTGGGGACCCACGGAGCTCAGCCTTGGACTCCTCGACGACCACTCTGCCAATAAAAGCACATGCAAAATTCGAATCGGGGGCTTCCTGATGTGCTGCCAAGCCTCTCTGCTATGGTTCTCCACCAGCCCAACAAAAAGACTCATGTTTCGGGTGGGGTTAGGGGAAAGCTCCTCCTCGGGAGAAAAGGCGGATGCAGGCAGAAGGGTCTCAGACTCGATTTTCTTGCCCCAAACCAAACCAAGTAGGTCGACTATGATCCCAGACACCTGGACTGACTCTCAGTCCATCTCCTCTTTGAGCTGGGGGCCCTCTCTGGCGCAGCGGCACACTCACCTCCTTGAGAGACACCATGCCGATCAGGCGCCCGATGCTGGTGACGTAAGCGTGGTCCACCCCCAGGAGCGAGAAGATGGTGTGAGTCTAGGGAAGACCAGCGAGCGGCAGGATCAGCATAAGACTCCAGGCCTTTGTGGGCATGCAGGTTTCCCTCCGCCCCGCCTAGCAACATCACAGATCTTTTTGGGTCAATGGCAAAGATGCATCACCACCCCTGCCCCCCCCCCAAATTACGTGGCCTCCTAAATATGACATCATTTCCTCTGGTGGAAGACTCTCCCAGCTGAGATCCAGGGTCTGCGGGACTTCGTGCAGTTCCGCAGGGCCTGTAAAACGGAGATGTTCCACCAGGCTTGTGGCTGCGGCAATCCGCCTATACTGGCCTCCCCGGGTTTATCCCATCATGGCTGATCCTCACCCACCCATTTGCTCTGCACTGCTGAAGAAGAAGAAGAAGAAGAAATAACTATCATAATGCCCCTGTCTGGAGCAAAAAAACCCTTAAAATATATTACGGGATTTGAATCTGAATGGGGAATAGGGTTGCATTCTCGGAATACATCCGAGGGATCGCACAATTTGGGTTACTGTGTAATATAGGTTACAGAAAGTTAGAAAACCAATTTCAGTTTGGAGGACAGAAGGAAGTTTCTAACCATCAAAGGCATGGAGTTCTGTTCCGGTTACCGCAGGCCTGGCAGAGGAAAACCCATGGGGATCCATAGATTAATGAGTCTGGGAGCCACGCTCCTCCCTTGCTGGTACCATGGAGAAGAACCGACGCCCATGGAGGAGATCCTGTCCCGTACGGACAACCTCATGAGCTGTGAGAGCCAGCATAGTGGTTAGAGTGTTGGTCTCTTTCTTGTGTGGGCCATTAGGAAGTGGTGGCGGCTACAAGCATGGACGGCTTCAAAAGGGAATTAGATAGGCATATGGAGCAGAGGTCCATCAGTGGCTATTAGCCACAAGGTATAGATAGGGGCTCTGGGGCAAGTGATGCTCTGTCTTCTTGGTGCTTGGGGGGGGGTCAACAGTGGGAGGGCTTCTAATGTCCTGGCCCCATTGGTGGACCTCCTGATATTTCTGGCCACTGTGTGATACAGAGTGTTGGACATTGGCATCTCTTATGTTCTTAGAGGATAGAGTAGGCTTGCCAACCTCTAGGTTGTTGTATCCAAAGGTGAGCTCACGGGAGGAGGCTGTATCAATACACAAACACTCTGGGTGCATTCAGATGGGCCGTTGAGCCCGCCTCAGAAACGGATTTTATCTGCGCGAACACACAGTCAACATCTGCCTCCTGTCCCCAGCTTTCTGGCTCAAAACCACTTTAACCCGGAGTATTTTGTTACCAGGTCCCCAAGTGGTGTTTTCCTGATTCTCCAGTTCCAGCCGCACTTTTCTGATGTCTGATCGCTTCTGCGGTGTCGAGCCACTTCCGGTTTAAGCCCCCTCCCCGCTCGAAAGCTGCCCGAGGCTTCCCGCTTTTCGCCTGCCAATTATTTTTAAAGTGTTGGCGGTGTGCGCATAGGCGGAGGTCCGCCACTGGGGTATTAAAAACAATGTATGAACGGTGCCTAGTTTTAGCGTTTAGACGAGTTTGGGATCTCGTGGAGGCCATTTTCGGGGTAAACGTGCAAAGGGAAGTGTTACAGCAGTTGGGTTGAAGTGGAAATCGCTGTTCTGCGCACGCGTGAAAAGTTTAATTCTACAGATGGGCCGCCTGTGCACATGCCCAAACTGAGAGAGAGAAAGCAACACCGATGCACGCTCTCGCCTGTGGATGGCGGGGAGCGATGTGGCTGCGCAGCAATCCGGAGCAAGGTGGTGAGTGTGATCGCAATTCTCCAGGTTAAAAAAAAATCGTATCAGGGCCGGAACAATTTAAACCGCTCCCAGCACGCCGTCTGACCGCACCCTCTCTGTATAAATTACGAACAGAAGTAGAAAGAATATATATTAAAAAGGTAAAGGTTCCCTTGCTCGAAAGCCAGTCGAATCCGACTCTAGGGTTGCGGTGCTCATCTCTGTTTCAAAGCCGAAGAGCCAGCACTGTCCGAAGACGTTTCCGTGGTCATGTGGCCGGCATGACTAAACACCAAGGCGCACGGAACGCTGTTCCCTTCCCACCAAAGTGGTACCTATTTATCTACTTGCAATTTCTTGCTTTCGAACTGCTAGGTTGGCAGGAGCTGGAACTAGAGACGGGAGCTCACTCCGTCATGCGGCACTTGGGTCTCGAACTGCTGAACTACTGACCTTCCACAGCCTGCAGTTCAGCGTCTTAACCACTTGAGCCACCGCAGCTCCAAAGAATATGTTATCCAAGTCAATTTTAACAATTCAAATGCTTCTCAAGTTTAACACACACTCTTATATTTCCTTAAAGAGTTAGGATCCAACAGTACTTAATACAAAGGACAAATTCCAAAATAAAGTCCACTAATCCTTTGTGTGAGACGCTGCTACTCCTACAAATGTGGAACTTCTGTTTTCCTGTGGAACTTTTGTTCTCCTGAAGCGTCTCATACAAAGGATTAGTGGACTTTATTTGGAATTTGTCCTTTGTATTAAGTATCGTTGGATCCTAAGTCTTTAAGGAAATATAAGAGTGTGTGTCAAACTTGAGAAGTATTTGAATTGTTAAAATTGACTTGGATAATATATTCTTTCTACTTCTGTTCGTAATTTATACACAGTGTTTGTGCGTTGATACAACCTCCAGGTGGCGGCTGGAGGTTTCCCACTATTACAACTGATCTCCAGGTGAGAGAGATCGGTTCACCAGGAGAACATGGCCACCTTGGAAGGTGGACTCTATGGCGCCGTACCCCATCGAAGTCCCTCCCCTCCCCAAATCCCGCCTCAGGCTCCACCCCCCAAATTTCCAGGTATTTCCTAACCCAGAGCTGGCAACCCAAGGGTGGAGCTCGAGGAAGGCGGGGTTTAGGGAAGGGAGGCACCTCAGTAGGGTACAATTCCATAGAGTCCATCCTCCAAGGCTGACATTTGCCCCAGGGGAGCTGAACTCTAATGTCTGGAGATCACTTGTTAAGAGGGAGATCTCCAGTCACCACCTGGAGGTTGGCAACCTTCACAGCACAAGGAGCACATGGCCACCTTGGAAGGTGGACTGTATGGCGCCGTACCCCATCGAAGTCCCTCCCCTCCCCAAATCCCGCCCTCCTCAGGCTCCACCCCCCAAATTTCCAGATATTTCCCAACCCAGAGCTGGCAACCCAAGGGTGGAGCTTGGGTAAGGCGGGGTTTAGGGAAGGGAGGCACCTCAGTAGGGTACAATTCCATAGAGTCCACCCCCCAAAGCTGACATCTGCCCCAGGGGAGCTGAACTCTAACGTCTGGAGATCACTTGTTAAGAGGGAGGTCTCCAGTCGCCACCTGGAGGTTGGCAACCTTCACAGCACTTATGGGGACCTGCAGGACGTACTCGGCCCTGTCTGTTTATTAATTTAGAGTGATATCCTGCCTTTCCCGCGAACGGGCGCAGGGTGGGTTGCAACAATAATTTATAAACAGTAAGCAATTAAAATAAAATATTAAGCAATAAACACAGTTGAAACAGTTAAAAGATGGGCTTGGCAGCAATTACATATTCTGTAATCCTAGGCTGAGTTCGGACGGGCAGTTTGAAGCGGGAGGGAGTCGTGGCAAAAAAGAGCCGGAACAAACTGTTCCGGGTTTTCCCATTCACACTGCAGCGACTGATGTGGGAGCATACCGGGGAGGAGGCGCAAGGGAGCGTTCACACTGTTGGCCCGGAGGCACGGCTGTAAGGCGCGGCTTTCTTTCTTTTTTTTGTAATCTGGAGATATGCGCTTATGCGCACGAGCGCTTATGCGTATGAGCGCATAAGAAAATGTGGCTTTTGGCGTTCACACTTCGTTGGTGCGGGATGGACGCGGGATAATCGCGCTTTCCAGGGTTTGCTACCACTTTCACCAGGTATCTTTTAAACTCGGGAGCGAAGCGTTACAAGACGGGTTGAGTACGGGTGGGGAACGTCGGACAGATGTGCCTGTGTGAACGGCCCATTTAATCCGGCTGTGGAACGTTTCTGAAACGCGCATATATCGGGGCAAACTGCCAGTCTGAACTCGGCTCTAGACTGGGAATAACTGGGCCGCAGCTGAGCTACAGAGATCTTATTGGCAGTGTGAGCTAGCCCACAGTTTTTTAGCCTCCGGCTCACATATTTTTGTCTTCGCTCCAGAGGGTTCCAGAGGGCTCCAGAGCAAACTAATGTATGCAGCAGCCAAATCACTCACTCACGACCTTAATGCCGGTAGCTCACAAAGCAAAATTTTCTGTTCACAAGACTCCACAGCTCAGAGGGGGCATTGCTTATCATTAGCAGTCTCCCGGTAGCAGAAACTACAGTAACTGCAGCAGGGAGTCCGATTGATGGACGCCTACCGCCTCACCTGGAAGACCTGGCGGAACAGCTCCGCTTTGGAGGTCCTGCGAAGCCATAGTAGGTCTTGCAGGGTCCTGATCTCGATCGGGAACGTGTTCCACCAGGCCGGGGCCAGGGCATAAGAAGCCTTGGCCCTGGTTGAGGATAAGTGAATGTCCCTTGGGCTGGGGATACCCAGCAGATGCTGATCTGCGAAGCGCAAGGCTCTCCGGGCCAAAGGAGGAGGAGGAGGAGGAGGAGGAGGAGGAGGAAGAGGAGGAGATTGGATTTATACCCCGCCCCGGAGTCTCAGAGCGGCTTACAAACTCCTTTCCCTTCCCCTCCCCACAACAGACACCCCGTGAGGTAGGTGGGGCTGAGAGAGCTCTGACAGAAACTGCCCTTTCAAGGACAGCTCTGAGAGAACTTGTGACTGACCCAAGGTCACACCAGCAGGTGCAAGTGGAGGAGTGGGGAATCAAACCCGGTTATCCCGGATTAGAGTCCGCGCTCCTAACCACGACACCAAAGTGGCCCGCCCCGGTCCTACCTTGTGCAAGGAAGTGCGCTCCACCAGCTGAAAAGGGGCCGGGTCGATCTTGCTGTTGCTGAAGTTGACGAAGTGGTCCAGCTGCTGCTCCTCCCACTCCAGGATCTGAAAGCAGAGAGACGCTCCTTTCATAGACAGCCCTCCTCGAGGGCGAGGGCCAGAGTGGGGGATCCCAGGTGGGATGCAGTGGGCTCCCCAGGTATCTTCAGCAACGGATCAGGCGCTTGGCAGCCCTTGAGCTTTCATGACCTGTCTTAACCGAATCGAAACTGAAATGGATTATTCGGCTTGGATTCGGCTTGTTCCACCGACTCTTTCCTCTGGTTCAAGAAGCTCTGTGGGAAAGGCCGTGGGTCAGTAGTTGAGTATCTGGCATGCAAATGGTCCCGAGTTCAATCCCCGGCGTCTCCAGTAAAAAGGATCAGGCACCACTGCTGCTGTACCAGGTAAAAAGGCCCTTTACCCGAGAGCTGCTGCCACCCTGAGCAGACAACGCCAGTCTTGACAGACCTGTTGTCTGACTCTTAGAAGGCCCCTTCATGTGTTGATCCCCTGATGCATGTAGCTCAGCACACAAAGCTGATTTCTACTGAATCAGACCTTTGGTCCATCAAGGGCAGTATTGTCTACTTAGCCTGGCAGCCGCTCTCCAGGAGAACTGGAGAGGCCAGGGGTTGAACCGGAACTGTCTGGATGCAAAACAGATGCTCTACCACTGAGCCACAGCCCCTTCCATCTACCACCAGGGAAAGACCCCTTATGCCAGAGGAAAGAGCCACAAGCAGAACCTCGGATCCACGTGATCCCACCCACTGATTACAAGAGGTTTTCTGGACTAGTGTTTTTTGATCATTAGAAAAGAAGAGGAGCTATGTGGGATCAGGCCAGTGGCCCATCCAGGCCAACACTCTGTGTCACACAGTGGCCAAAATCCAGTAGCCATCAGGAGGTCCACCAGCGGGGCCAAAACTCCAGAAGCCCTCCC